AAATTTATTATGGAAATATATTTAATAATTAATCTAATGATACTTATTTTGTACTTTAGTTAAAGTTTAGATTCCTTGATTTCTTGATAAGCGAGAATTGCATTTGGACGGAGGGAGTATAACATAGACAAGAATAGCTCATAAAAATAATTTAGTTATCAATAATTTCTCTAAATATTTAATAATTAAATATATCATTTTTATAATCAATATTATATTTATGTAAAATATTTATCATAAATAAATTATATAAAATAATTTACATCAATAAATAAATAAACTCAATTACACTAAATAATTTACAACAACAAATTTATTAGTTTCAAACTAAATCAAACAAATACTAAAATTAATTTAATATTTATGTATCATTAATAATTTTAAATTAATACTAAAAGTTATTTTTATAGATATACTATTAAATGGTTCTAATGCATCATTATTAATAATAAAATTAAATAATAGATTCATGATATCTTGTTTTCTTTGCGCATATGGGTATTATCGCATACTGTCGAATATGGATCTGAAATGGGGTAAAAAAATACTGAAAAATGAATTTGGATATATCCATACGGATCTGAAATCAGATAGAGAAAAATACTGACAATGATACGAATACGGATATCCATATCTATACCTAATAATAATAAAGAGGTAAAATTTCCGCCTCTTTTTCGGTCCCATTAGTTTGGTTTGGCCCTCCCAAACAAACTATGTGAATATGCAAAATATCACCCCTCCTCTCTACATATAGTCCGTCGCTTCGCGCTTTTGGCTGTTGCCTGTCTCCTCTTCTCATCAGGACCGGACTCTTCTGCCTCATGGAGTCATAGCCGCGCCCTCAACCGAGTTCAAGTTCAGCACGAGTTGAAGTACAAAGGAAAGAAAAAAAAAACAGAACCGAAAAGGATGAGAAGGAAACAAGGAATCCACACCACTCCAAATCGGATAGAAGAGAATTCCAAATCTATCCCTAATTCGTCCAATATATCGAGCGCTCCTTCCCTGCCCACGCCGCGTTCAGTAGTTTTAGAGTTTCGATTTATTTCCTTAACCAAGTCGATTTGTTTTCTTTTATTGTTGTTGTGCTCAGCTTTCTGATTGGTCGTCCGCTCCGCTCGATTGTTTCCGAGTTCTGGACAAGTCCGCTCTGCACGGTTGTTCCAGAGTTCTAGATTTGTTTTATTTTTTATTTTTATTCTTTGTTTTTTATTTCTAATTTGTTTCTGTGTTTCTTGTCACGATTTGATTTCGTGACTTTTTGTTGCGCTCAATTTTTCTATAAATAAATGTCAATAATAATAATAAATATAGTATTATAGATTTTTGAAGCATTGACCATTCTTTAAAAAAAGATTTACACCATCCAATTGATGATTATTTTTTATTATAAATAAATTATAGATCTCTAAACCATTGACCTTTGTTAAAAAAAACAAAGATTTACACTACCAATTTGATGATGTAGTTTTGATTAGAAATAAAAGCTTATCCTTATTAAATATCTAGATTAGTAGATGGTTCGACTAATTAAACCATGAACTGAATTCAATATAAAAAATGTATCTCTGAAATCCTTGATAAGGCTTGTCATATGGAAAATCGAAAGAGGTCTCCTTTTCATAATCTTCGGTGGACAAACCAATTCTTGGACACGCCTACAAGTAATTTCTTATCGACTTTAATCATAGATCAGAATTATGTATTTTTATGGATCCTTAAATAAAGCTTTAGAGAGCTTGATTTTTAACTTTAGCAACACGTGCATAGTTTAAAAAATAAAGGTATTGACATCTAAATATTTCTTTTCTATGCTTTGCAACAGGATAAAGAATCTATCGAGGTTGCATTTTAACTTGATACAGGATTAATAGAACACTATCATATTATTGTTAATTAATTTATATTATGGATGTCATGGTTTTCATAAAATAAATTATAGATTTTAAATTTTAGAGAAATGATAAAACATAAGTAGAAATGTATCACTCCTGTTGTTATTTCCTATTAGTAGTTGATTTTTTTTTCTCTCGTTGCAACGTACGGATATATTTGCTAGTTATAAGTTAACCTGTGATAACTTGATAGCCATTTTTATTTTCCATCCCTATCTAAGAACGAGAAATTTGCAAAGCGGTAAATTGCCAATTTTCTCGTTTCCTTCCTCCTCCGGTGGCCGGTCGCCCCGTTTACCCAGCGAATCGTGGGGTGCCCTCGGGAACGCGGACACAGGTGGTGCGCCCGCTCTCTTGACTCTAGCTAGCACTCTTTGCCTTTCTTTCCCGGCGGCGACAACTGGGCTAGCGGCGCCGCCACCGTACGTCAGGTCTCCGTTGGGTGTTTGATGGCGATGAGCACCTGTCAGGTATGCCCACCCTTCCCCTCCCTTCCTGTTCTGTTTTCCGAGCACCCAAACCCTAATGTAAGCTATCCGTATTCGGATCTGATCCGATTACAATTATATACATGGATTATGCCTTCTAACTTCGATTTTGTTGCAAAAATTAACTGGTTTACTGCTCTCTTCTAGTCAAATCTTTTACGAGCTATCTGCCCAATTTTTCTCCTAATTCAGTTTATTTTGATCCGCTGTCCAATGAGGCTTGTATCGAGTCATGTTCTGCTTAGATCCTAATTCCTTGGCCCTCTTTTTTTAAATCTCATGGTATGCTTTTAGTGCAAAACGGGTGTGTATTTAGGCCAACTAGTACCATGTATATCTTTCTCTATGGAATTTAGTGTAGTTTATTTCCTCAGGTGCTGCGGTTCAGATCTTATGCTTATCACTTTTAAAGAAAACAAATAGAAATGCTAATGCCTTATTCACAGTGGTGGGAATTTGGAAACTGTACTTGTGCTGCTTCACCCCACTTGATTTGGCCAAGAAACAAATTTCCTGGATTCAGTGAAATTCATTAACCACTTAGATTGGCAGCATTCCTCGGTTATAATAGTATGCTAACTCCATGGCTCGGTGAAGGTTCCAGCTAAACTAGTACAGACACTTTAAGAATTCTGATTTAGTACAAATTTTGTTAGTACTGAAGCTATGCTTAGGAGATGGTATATCATGCTCAACCAATTTCGAGCATGGATGAGTACTAATACACCGTGGTATTAAGAAACCGCAGTTTTAGAACCCATAAATGTGCAAAGCCATGGTTTAGTAAAAAGAGGTCTAGGGTTTTAAAAACTTTAAAAGACTACAGTTTTAGCAATACTATGGTTTTGAAAACCATAAAGTTTGTTGCATCCAAACATTTCGTGCTGCTCCAAAGCACCAAAGTATTTCACAAAACCATGGTGTTTCTCTAAAACTTAAAAATACTTCACATCCAAACAGGGCCTTAGCTTTTGGAATCCAATTGAGGGTCATTACTTGAAGAGTTCCCAGTACTGATGAAATGTTCCATGGCTAAAATTAGTAAAAAAAAGTTTCTTGATCACTTAATGCATACTGCGCATACGGTAAATGGTAGGTGGGTTCTTATGGAAGATTTTTATCTCTGTTTTTGCATTTTTTTTTATTTTTGTCTACATCCTGGCTCCTCCGCCTCGTATCTAACTTGTGTATTAAAAAAAACTCACTAGCTGCTGCTATTGATTTATGTTATTGTTGGGATTAATTGACAGAACTCAGGAACATCTATAAGTTAATTCTTGGTAAATTTTTAGCGGAATTCTTGGTATTAAAGAATTTTAGTTTACATCGGGAACCAGTGCGTAAGAAATTATTATCACGGCCACGGTTACCTCTGGGAAAACAATACTGAGTTGGCAGTAACACCGTGCCATTTTGATGTTTGATAGTTAAAGATGAAATATAACCATGTTATCATGGTCTTCAAACATCTTACTCTAAAATGTTTAGGGAAACTGTGATTACTGTTCTCCACTTTGCTTGTGTAGCTGTTGACGTGAGCTGTGAGCTATTGCCCTATTGCTTCTTTTAGCTGGTTTAAATGCACTCTGTTGCTCATGTAATTATGTGCAGTTTCTTTTTCTGTATTTTTCATGCACTGCTGTTCAGATGCCAAATGAAGCGAGAAGTTCTCCACTACAATTCTTTGAATACAACTTTTGGTAACAGCTACACGTTTTTTTAGTGAACATACATGATAGCAATTAGCAAGTTAAGAAACATATAGGCAAATGAAGAAAATGAAACACCATGGATGATGTGATCATTGTCACAGTCTTGTCCATCTGATATGCACTGCAAAAACTTTTGTCTGAGTTGAATGAAAAAATAGGTTTGAAGTTTGAAAAATTCTTGGCACTTTGGTTACTGGTCCGTAGAATAAGACCTTATCTTCTGGTAGGCTGAGATCCTTTTGTTATATAGGCATGAGTCATGTGACCCACTCTTTTCTTGCATAAGCAGTATGGTTATTATGGCATGGTGGCATTTTTTTACACTATTAAAATTTCATTCTTCAATAAGAAAATGAAGAAATGAAGGTTTTGCCTTGTTTTGGTGAGTGATGACATCAAATATGACATAAAATTGACTTCAAGAGTGAATTTGAGATGCTCGGCCCAGGGTAAAGCTAATATGGCCAGTCAGAGTCTGGCCAAATCGCATAGGCTCAGCTTTCCTCTTTCTTAAATGTGGCTGTTGGCTCTTATTTACCTTCTCACACTGAAACCTAAACTACTAAAGTAGTACTGCTGCTTAGCGGTAGAGTCTTACCGCCTGGGACCGGAAGGTCCCGGGTTCGAGTCGCGGTCTCCTCGCATTGCACAGGCGAGGGTAAGGCTTGCCACTGACACCTTTCCCCAGACCCCGCACAGAGCGGGAGCTCTCTGCACTGGGTACGCCCTACGCCCTGTATCCCTGGCGCTCTTATATTTGTATTTGTTACCTTAGCTTCTGCTTGAAAAATTATATCTTCTCTATCCTTACAGTCTGATTCCGCCCTTCTTTTCTTTTATCATATCTCCAGGTACTCTAGGCCACTTTCTCATTAAGGTAGCACTGAGTTCCTTGCATGACCATGACTTCTGAAGATGGAGACATTTTGGCTCTTCTGTCTGAGCCAAGCCTAAAGGAAGAGCAACTTGAGGCTTCTGAATCTGATGATATATTTCCTGCTATTCTGGAAGCCATTAAATCAAATAAGAATGTAGTTGAACTTTCACCTGAGGAAGCTGCCTGGGCAGATTCATGCTTCGTGCAGACTTCTGAACTGTCAGATGATGACTGGGGAGCGATGAGGAGTGCGTTGCTTGATGCCCTTGAAAAGCCAACAGAAAGTCCTGATGATATTTCAGAAAGTGCACATAATGCAATCTCAGAGGCAAAACTTCACTTCCTCCCTGCTGAAAATATTTCTGAGCATGGCGACATCCACATGGAGCAAATAAACAATACCGATGATGACCAGGATGGAATTGAAGCATGTGAAATTGCTGATGTAATCAGAGGTGCAGAAGAACATGGTAAGCAAATGGATAGTTATGTAGAGGCTGGTGATGAGTTGGCTTCATCTGAGGTTCTTGAGCAGACCCAGTCAACAGGTTCTATATTTAAGGTTTGGGATCTGGAGGTGCCTTTTTCTGATGATGATGATGGCGAGCTTGAACTCATCAAGGATCTGAAGAAGCTCCTCAAGGAGAAGGACAGCCTTCCAGAGGATGTATATCCAACTCTTCCTCCAGATGATGCAGCCAAACCCTTGAGCCAGATAAGCATCGATGAACTTGTGGCGGGCTTGAGCGACTTGTCAATACAGCGAGCCAATGAGTGACTATTGTTTCTCAAATAGCTGTGTAGCACACCTTGGCCATCCAGGAGATATTGTGTTTTGCTCTCAAGAGCGCGCTAATCACTTGGGGTTTAAAACTTCAGGTTTAGGCTAACTGTTGTGTGATGTTGTTTGTTCTGTATGCTCGCTGTGTTGATTTCTGCCTAACTTGAAATCAGCAAAAAATGAAGATGTTTTGGTAGAATTCACGTTCTAGTATTTCCGTCTTTCTTTGTACGCGTGCTTCTGTCTGTCTCATTTTTTTCCCCGCTTTATTACTTTCTTCCGCACAGCTTCGTCTGGAAGTTTCAGGTTTAACCAAGTTACAGCTTTCATCACGATAAAGGTTTCACATATTTGCCTGCAAGGCATATACGCCGAAACTGGACTAACGGAAACCGAATTTTTTGGTCCTGATAAATATGGTCTAAAGTTCTAAGGAACCGAAATTATTCAGTTTTAGGACTTGGTTAACCAAATTAGCTGATAAAACCAAATTCAACTAAGAAACCCAGCTATGCTATGCATTTAGAGCCAATTTGGTAGCGCTCCAAATTGACTCAGTCTCTCCTGCTCCCTCGCGCTTTAGGACCCCGCCTACACCGTCTGGTAGAGCTTCTCGTTGCTCCAGGTGACGGCAAAAACGAGTCAGCACACGATTGAGGTGGGGTTGGCTGCCGCGAATCAAGCTCCTCCTACAAATCGGGGATGGCCGGATGGCCACCAACGAGAAGCTGGAGCCGAGAGCGATGTCAAACTGGTCTTTTAAGAGGAGCCTGAGTCCTAGCAAATGGGATCATAGTAAGATTTCATTTTGGCATAGCTTCTTTACCAACTATACAAACTATTTTGAGCTGTTTTTAGCCAAACAGAGTAACTCCCTAAGGAGCTCCTTAAAACATGCTCTCACAAGAGGTGGATGGGAGATTAAGCTCAAAATAGTAGTTTCTTCTAGCTCCCACTCGCTTTGGTGGGCCCTGTGTGGGATTCTTTGTGAGTATGTTTTTAGAAGCTACACATGTAGAGCTGTTTTGCTAAATGATTCGCCAATACACTTTTAACTCTGCCGATAAAGCTGGTCGCAGAGCTGAAGCAAAAAAAAATAGCTTAACTAGCGAAGTGGAGTTGTTCCAAGCCCCATCCCCCGTCGCTCCGCCTTTGGGGCGATTCGGGCGGCCGTCCAGACTACCGCGCCGCCGCTCCCCACCCTCTGCCCTCGGCTTCGTCGCTGCCTGAGCAGGTTGCCGGGAGGCCCGCACGACTGCGAGGAAGGCGGCGGCGGGGCCTTTCCTTGCTGCTCTCGGCGGCATCTCAAGGAGCTTCGAGAATCGAGCGATGACGGCGGTGCCGTCATCTGGCGGCAGCGAAGCTCGATGGGAGTCCAGATCCGGGGCCTTCGTGAGTGGATCTCGCACCCCCTTGTGTGGATTTGCATCCCCCCGCTGGGGCTTCCTCTGCTGCTCCATCGGTAGCGCGGCGCGTGGTGGCGGCTGGCCGAGGAGCAGGGCATCGCGCGACGGCCGGGTGGCGCTACGGCTTGGACGACGAGTGCCCAGACACCCGGATCTACGTCCAGGTGGTTGGCTCCATGCTATGGTCGGCGACTGCAGTGGCGGTGGCTCTGGCCAAGGGCATCGGGGACGGTGTCCTAGCGGAGCCCGTGGTGGTGGGGCATGTGCCTCGTTGCAGCCGGCGAAGACCGACAGCGACGACGACAGGTGCCAGAGCCACCGGCGACCGCCTGTAGTGACCTCGATGCGCTGTGGTATTGCGTGCCCTGCCGGCTGGTTGCTGGGGGCATGGTGTCTGGCAATGGGGGCGGCTAGCGCAGCGAGAACGGGACTTGGCCACTGCCGCGCATGGGGTTGAGGTGCCATGGCGAAAGCCATGTCCCTTGGACCAATGACGGCGACGCCTTTGGGCGTCGTATTCTTCCTTGGAAGCGTCCATCGATCGACTCTCTCCCCCTTGCGCGGCGTGCTCTTTCTAGGTGTAATGCCTTAACTTTCTTGTCGGGCGACGATGGCGATGATGGCGTCGTGTCCCTCCTTGGAGGTGTCGCTTTGGAAGCCCGTGACTGTCAGTCTGTCATGGCCGCCATCGTTGTGGCGAGGAAGGTGGAGGCCTAGCTGAGGATTCAAGTTTTCAGTGTCCACTACGGCTGAAGGTGGTCGGGAGGAGGGTTTTGGTGCGGCGATTGGAGGGCTTCACATTTGTTTGGCGGATGGTGAGTTGTGACCACGAAGTTGACGAGAAGGCCGATGTGGGAGGCGCCCATGGATTTGGCGAGTAGACCAACGTGGGAGGAGGTGGCTAGCAGACTGCGTTGGTGAGGTGACCTACGTGGTGTGGCGGCGGGCGGTCCTACTCAGCGGCGGCTGTTTCGGCGCAAGGAGACTCTCTGACAGGCAAGCTGAGGCTGTGTGTGGCACTTATGCTTCGATGGGACAGCTAGGCTACTGGAAGTTGTACGCGCTTGGTTCATGGTGGACGGGATCAGCTTGGTGAGCACCAGAGGCAGCTACTCATGCGTTGGTTTTGCAGCTTGCGGCGGACTAAGGCGGCTAGCCCTGCTTGACGATGGCTAGTCCGGTGTGGTACATCGTCTTGACAGGCGGCGCAAGCGGATTCGATTGCCGGATGGCTACACGGCTCGCAGCGACTTACGACGGCTAGTCCAGCTTGGCAGCAGGCTAGCTTGGTGTGGATCTTCATCGATAACGACGGCGCGAGCAATGACGACGGCATTTTCGCCCTAACGTCCTTGACATCCAGGGCTTGGCGGTGTAGTGTGGTGGTTTGACGTTGGTGGTGGTTCTTTTTTCTCTTCTTTTTTTCTGAGTTGAGCTTCGGTTGTGCGCGGTTTGTGTTGATGTCCCAATTCGACTGACCAGAGTTGTTTTTTTCCTGTGGTTGAGTTTGTTTTTTGGCTTAGTTCTTGTTCGCTGTTGTATTGGTGTGTGCCCATTTTGGACTTATCTTCTTTTTAATATACTTAATAGCTCTCCTGCCTGATTCATTTCAAAAAAAAGTAGAGCTGTTCCAAATGGGGTCTAAGAGCATATCCACTGGATCTTCTTTCCCACCCTCTTACAATTTGCTATAGCAAATTGAAAACAAAGTTCCAGGCTACAGGAGAGTGCTCCTACAACATATTGAGAAAAAATCAATCCCCTTTATTAAGTAAGTACAATCCACATGTCATTCAAGACAACTTAAAAATCCAATTCCTTTTATTAAGTACAACCCACGTGTCATTCAAGACAACTCTCCTTTCATTTTATCTTTTATCTTTCCTTTTCCTTTCTCCATCGTTCGTGCTTATCCGCCCGATGCCCGACACTTGTTCGCGTGTGGTGCTCCGCTTCCATGTAGTGGTCGCCCCCCCCCCCCGTTGTGTGTTGCCCTGGTGCGGCGCCCACACTTGCATGGTGCCCGACGTGGCTGGCGCTCACCCGTGCTTGTGCGGGAGCATGGTGGCGTGGTCGTCGGAGGAAGAGACATGGAGGAAGAGCATGTTGCACAGGTGTCGATGAGAAGACAGTGTCTAATGTGTACGGGGATCCCGATCTTCCGTCAGGTAGAGATAACTATCGTTGTGGCGGAGAATGACACATCGATCCGGCTTCAGATCCAAAGATCGAATCCTGCAATCTTAGCACCACAGCCGAGTCACGGACCACGTTGACCTCGCCAAGAAGGCTAATCCCTATCTGCGCAATGAAGAACACAAGAAAGAACACAATCAAATTGCAGATGAATGATTATCTCACGAAGTTGGGGTCTCACAAACCGATGAACGGCGAAACTGTTCTTGACAGAATAATCTAAACAAAACCCCAAACACTAATGACGGCGGCGGCATATGATTATAAAGGTCTTAGGGTCGTCGCCTACCCTGGACGCGCCCCCTAATGGGCCCAAACACGATACACGGTCCAACGGACCAAAAGAAAGTGTCGCAGCACCCTGGCAGATTCTGGATGCTGACTTGTTTCGATGATTCCTGTTGATTCCGAAGAGCTTTTGACGTGAAACCACTTGGATTGGCTTCCTTATCAAATTAGCTTTCCATCCATATGTGGATCGTCGAAAACGGAGTCCGGATGCGTCCTAGGTGACCAGTTTAAGGCAGACTGGTCCTGAAGGCCGAGGCAGACTCGAACTTGAGTTGCTTTGGGCCTCCACCTCGGAGACTCGAACCGAATCAGCCTTGGGCCTCCTTCTTGACTTGGACACCCTTGCTAGCCTTCTACCCCTCCATACCATGCACCAAACATGGGTCGTATGCATGGGTGTCATGTCCTCATCATCCTCCCCTTCTTGACGAAAAGCCGTCCTCGGCGTCGAGTGTGCTTGAAACTGATCCTGCACAACACAAAGGAGAACGGAGTTGCGAAGACAAAGGGAACTGAAATAATTGTGAGAAGGAATGTGACCATGTTTCTAAGTTTGTAGCATGTCATCTCGCATAAAAATTTCAACAAGCATGTAGACTCCATGATCCGAATGCACACGATGTATGTCAATACTATCCTGCAAAAGATTAGAACTAACCAAAGACAATGCAGGAATAGATGGTCTCGCAGACATAGGTAGCAACCAACAATGCTCCCCTTCTTGGAAGTGAACTTGTTTCTTTGAGGAACATGAGAAATTATTTGTATTATTATGGCTGCCTCTAAACGATCATAATCTTGTACAACAAAAGGAGAATTCATATTACTACGAATGTATACTTGATGTATCATATATTGTCCCTTGTTGTTATATCTGCCAATAACATGATATGTGTGTTTAGAAAATCAAGGCAAATCAGCATATTTAAAAAGGCTCTCTTCCAAATAATCTAGGTTACATAAAACATCAAATTCAATGTAACCCAAAGTATGTAAAGAAGACAACAGTTTGAACTCATCAATTTTAGTAGCAATATGAATAACATGTTTATTTTCAGCACAAGTCACTGGTTCCAAAACATGTAAAACTGAAGCATCTTCAAC